AAAAAAAAAGGAAAAAATATCCTTAGGTGAAGATTAACAACAATGAAAAAGCATTGCTGGAAGGTTAGTTCCTTTCTCAGCTATCTGATTCAACTGCTTCAAGATCTACTATACTATATTAAACCAGTCTACCTCCTCTGAAGCTGTTGACACACTCAGACATTCCAAGGATTTAATTCACAAATCTATTTACCGCTATCCTTGTCTCCTTATCTGTTTCCTTCAGCCAGAGTGAAGGCCTTCAATGTGTTTCCAAGACACAACTGCCAAGTCACTGGTCCCTTCTCGTACCCCACATTTACATGGTGTGGTTAGTCTTGGACAATTTAACTACTGGAACAAAACCCTGAAACCAGAAGTGATTAGTCAGAGCTTTGAAGCAGCAGCAAAAACAGATGTCACGAACTCCATGCATTATATTCTGTATGAGATCATAAGCCCACACTCAGGTGTCTAGACAGCAGTCTTTTAAAAAAATTTGTTTAAAAATATGTTTTTATTGACTTCAGAGAGAGGAAGGGAGAGGGTGAGAGATAGAAACATCTATTGACTGCTTCTTGCATGTCAAAGATCGGGCCCACAACCCGGGCATGTGCCCTGACCAGAAATCGGACTGCAACCTCCTATTTCATGGGTCAACACTCAACCATTGAGCCACAGCAGCCAGGCTAGTCAGCAGTCTTGATCTAGAAAGCTTAGCTGTATGGTTTTCTTTGGAAATTTTTAGTTTTCCTACATTGCAGCAGTACACACATCAGAAGCAGGGAGTCGGGACTTCAATAATGGCAACTAACACCAAGGGGGAAGGCAAGAAGCTTCACCTGGAAAAATGGCATGGTGTGAGGACCGAAAGGACAAGCGAAGCCCTGCATTCTCAGAAGTTCCCCAAAGCGCCAGTGAACTGCTGCCTGCCCCAGTAATAGAAGTTCATCAAAGTTCCTTTGTGTCACTACAGAAATGGCCTCCTTAGGCTCCATGTACTCTGTTTAATAAGACAGGCTAGTGTGTAAAGTGTTTCACAAGTGCTCCCATTCAAAATAATATTTTAAGGTATGTTTCAGATATCTGGAAAATGGATTTCTGTGGAGAACCACCCTCTCTGTGCTACTTTATCCCCAGCACTTTATCTTACTGTAAGAACCTGAAATTGACATTAAACTCAGGGCATGTGCACTAAGTGTCTGTTTACTGACTTCTCAATTCCGTCTTATGAGGGCACTAGATTTCTAGCTAATGGCACAAAATCAAGACCAGCCAGCAGGTTTTTAAGGCGGGGTGCTGATTCCTAGTCTTGGGCCTATAGGGGCTTGAGAAATCTGGGTAATCACTCTGTGTCTCAATTTCCCTTCCTGTTAAAATGAAAGAACAGTGTTTTCTCTGATATTTGATATTACCATGTGGTGATAATTAGAATAATAATGTTAACACATCAAACTCCAGAAAAAGATCTTGGTGGTGAGGATGGGGAGAGGGGGAGAGGGCAGCAGGTAAGAGAGTGCAGGTCAAGCAGGAGACAGGTTAGATGGGTGAAGGGTTGCATAGGTGACCAGTAGAAGAGGGTGAAAGACAGACAGTTCAGGGAAGTAGCAGGCCAGGCAGGTTGTGGAGGCAGGTGGTTCAGACAGGTAGATTATATACATTCTAGATGAGGTGATTCAGATGAGTCACAGGTCAGGCAGGTGCAAACTGAGATGAGACAGAGATAAAGAGACAGACAAGAAGAGGAAAGGGACAGGGACAGGAACATACAATTTGGAAGGAGAGAAAATTAGGGGCAAGTGAGGATATACTGGGTCAGAGAGGTAAGAGGGGCTCTTTAGGCTCAGGGAAGTCTCCCCCGCTTACTCCAAAGGTAATACCTGCATGGATTATCAGAGTGAATGTTTTTGGCATTTTGACTTCTTTCCTCCCTGAACTAGAAAATGGTTATTTTCACTTGAAAACCTCAGATACACATTTTCCCGAGTGAAATCTGAAGATCAAGATATCAGTTATGTACCTGGAAGTTTGAAAGTGTCAGTGATTGTCCTATACAGACTTTACAGTGGGCCATAGACTTTCACCTTTCTCATTCGACCTCAACAGTCCTCTCCTCTATTATTATATAAACTCACATTTCGTGATATGCAATAAGTAATCAGGATAGTGGAGTTGATATCCTACAAATGTGATCTCTACCCCTAATCTGGAAAGTTTTATCTCTGGGAATTTAATTTTGTGCATGTCTTGTGACATAGCACCTGACCATTATTACTTGGAATGGGCCCAGGTGGATTTTGGTGTTCTTAATGCTTGGCACTCAGGATCTCACTGAGAGATTGTGAGCCATCTGTGTCATTGGTAGGTGAAGTGAACACTAGAACTGCATTAAATATACATGTCAAATAGGGAAAAGGTGAAAGAATCCAGCTCAAAGGATTAGATTGTCCTCTGTAACTAAAAGGAATGCAAGCATTGGGTATTCTTGTCTATAGGTGAGGAAATATGGAATATTAGGAAGCTATGGCAGGACCACAAGGGGATGATTGAGATAGCCCTGAGTTTCTGACCACAGTCCCTTAAGCTGGGCTCCATGCCTAGTCTGTCCAACTTGATTTTAGCATCCCCACCCCACCCCCATCCTTTCTTCTCAACCTTTCTTATCTTGGGATGTAGGTTATAGAGCAAATTGAACCCTTTATTGAAGACTATTGAACTATCAAGGAATATATAAAAAACAAACTTTTCTTTGGAGAGATAAAGGGTATTTAGCTCATCTGCCTTTAAAATTGAGAATTAAGAACAGAGAATGTAAGCTCTGCTAAAGCATAATAAGGGAAAAGGGTTAGGAGAGAAGAGAAAAATACAATGAGAAAAACATAGAGGAGAGAGGCAGAGAGAGAGAAGGAGGTCAGGAGAGAGAAAGCAGGTGAGGAAAGGACAAAGAGAGGGAGGAACAGAGTATGGTAGAGGTAGGGGAAGGGAGTAAGCACAGAAAAGGGTAGCAGCAGGCAGGCCAGGATTAAGAGTGTGGCTCCAGTGCCAGAGATCTGGATTCTAAATCTACAGAAATCCTACTTAGTGGTGAAATATTGAAAGGACTCCCCCTGAGATCAGGAATGACACTGGGATGGCTACTATAACTACTTCTATTTAACCTGTTACTGGAGGTCTGAGTTGGTGGAGTAAGGCAAGAAAAACAAATATAAAGAAAAGGAAGAAATAAACTTAATATTCACAGATGACATGATTCGTGTGCCCAGAAAAATCCCGAAGTGGCTTTAACAAGGTCTCTTGGTAGAAGGTCAATATATAAAAATCAGTTGTATTTCTATATGTGAGCACAAATAAAAAGAAATGAAAATTTACAAAATTGGGTTTCTAATAACATTAAAAAACACACAAAAAAACCCCCTTCAGATGCCTTTCTGGATGGAGGTTCTCAACTCCCCTCTTTCTTCCTGTACATGAAGTGAGTAACTCTTACCTTAATATTCTGCAGCTTTTCACTCCAGTGTAAAATTAGGGTCAAAACAACAACAACAATAATAGTAGGGGATTTACTGAGTGCCTACACTATGCCAGACATTGTTCTAAATGTTTACATTGATTTTTTTCCTTTTGGCCTTCACAACAACCCTTTAATGTTTGCTGTGAAGATTAAATGATGAAATGTATGTAAAACACTCAGCAAATTGCTTTGCATATAATAAATTCTTAATACATTTTAGCAATATTAAAGCAATCATTATTTTAGAGAGGCGTATAGACTCAGTTGTTAGTAGAACTAAGCTGCTATTCACTTGGCTTATGATTTGGAGAATAAACAGTCATGCGTTATTGTTGTTTTAACAAAAATTTAAATAGCTCATTAATTCATTTATTCAGCCAGGCACTGCTTGTGGGTCTAGGAATACAGAGGGTAAGCAAAACAGACAAAATCCATGCCCTAATGGAGTTTATAGTTTGCAGGGGAAGCAGACATTAATCAAATGGTATCACAGATTGTGCTATGAGAATAAAGTACAAGCATTTATGAGAGCATAAAAGGGGGATCTCTTATGGGCTGCATCTCCCCTTTCCCTCTGCCACCCCCAGCTAACAGCCTGACTCTGCCCTGTCGTTGCACCTGCAGCACTCCACCTCTGTGAGCATTATGGGCTTTTCCAACACTGTGGAGATGGAGCTGTCATCTACGAGGCTGGCGAGGGCCCTAGAGCCACAGATCCAGAGTGTGAGCAGCCTGACTGCTGGCCACCCCCAGGCGGTACCAAGCCTGCTGAGTGGCCCCCCACCGATGCTGTCCAGCCTGACTAGCAGTCAAAACCAGGCTCTGTCCAGCCTGACAGCCAGTCACCTGCAGACAATGCCCAGCCTCATGCGTGGCACAGCCCAGTCCATGCCCAACCTGATGTGTGATTCTTCCCAGGCCATCACAAGCCTGGCAAGTGATTACTCTCAGCCTGGGCCCAACCTGATGTCTGCTCCCAGCCAGGCTGTGCCAAGCCTGGCAGCTTGTTCTCTGCAGAGCAGGCCTCCAGCTTCTGACACGCAGCTGGATACCAGAGCTAGCGGAAGTCCTGGCCATGGCCGAGCTGCAGGGAGCCTGTGCCCTGGTGATGGGGCTGACCCCTCCATGGGGAACACCCTTTGTAAGGTAAGTCCTGGGGAATGCCATTTAACCTTCCCTGCTCATCACTGGGCAAAACTGTGGACCCTGAAGGCCTTATCTTGGCTTTTGCTTAATAGCTCTGTGACCACTAATGGCAAAATGTCTGATTTATTTGATGTTTCTTGGCCTTTTACTTTTGAAAGATGGAAAGTGAAGATTCCACCCATTTCAATGACTCTTTGGGACAAGGCCCCACAGCCTCTAGTCTAGATGTTTCCAAGGACTTGGCTATACCCTCAGAACTGGAGGAACCAATTAACCTCTCTGTGAAAAAACCACCTGTGGTCTCAGTGGTCAACACATCTGTGGCTCTGCAGCAGTACCAGAACCCAAAAGGTGAGACTGAAGTGAACAGCCTGCTCCCGTGCTGGCCATAGACTGGAGCTGATGGGCTTAGCATTTCCAGGGGAGGTAGAGGTAGCAGCCAGGCTCTGGCCCTGAGGGAGCGGCATTTCTCTCTCAGGCTAACTTCACTTCTCTCTTGAGAACTGACTTACTGATTCCTGTTCTGTTTCCCTCACTGTGGCCATGGCTGATCCAGGCCATGTAACATTCCCCATGAAAAACGTTCTGGGAGGTCTGGGTTATAGGTAGGGGGTAACAGGAAGAACTCGCCCCAGAAGGGCTAGCCTTGGCAGACTATTTTAGGGAAAAGAGCATGTCTGACTTTTAGAGTCAGATACATCTAAGTTAGAAAACCAGCCATGGAAGGATTTTCACCACTATGAATTACAGTGTATATAATGTTTGTGTAATAAGTGTGTGGCCAAAGGTATGAATAGCAGATGTGAATGTGGGTGACAGGGTATGTTGTCATAAATATGTCACAGGTACTTGTCTTTTGCCTTAGAGTGTGAGAATTTTGAACAAGGAGCCCCAGAGCTGGATACAAAAGAGGACCAGAGCATCAGGTATCAGATTCCTGGCTCAACCTTTTTCTCCCACCCCCTCAAGTTCATGTCCTGGGAGGTTGGCACAGGAAGTAAGCATCCTTGATGACTTCATTAGAAGCAGAAGTTTGCCTGCAACTGTTTTCTTCAACCTCTAGACCCTGAAGTGGGGTCTGTGTGGGCAGGTGTCTGGGACGGTTGTGGGAGGATGCTGTGGCTCCTGCTCTCTGTGTGCAGTGCTCCCTCTTCAAGGATCCCTTTCTTTGACCAAAGGGCTTCCCAGAGGCTGACAGGGCCTGGCCAGGCAGAGCTGGGCGGGAGGCCAGAATATGGGCCAGTTGAGGGTTGGACTGAGGCGATCTTGAGCAGCAGTTTAGTTGTGGGATCCTGGATGAGCCCTATTTAGAGATTGGGGCCAGAGGAGGTTCCCACTGAGACCCAGGGGTATCTCTCTTGCTATAGACCTTACAATAGTGAACCCAAGATTCCCTATGTGCGACTGGAGCGACTCAAGATCTGCGCTACCTCCTCAGGAGAGATGCCTGTGTTCAAGCTGAAGCCACAAAAGAATGATCAGGACGGGAGCTTCCTCTTGATCATTGAGTGTGGCACTGAGTCCTCCAGCATGTCCATTAAGGTACCACTTTGCTTTGGCCTTGAACCTTGGAGTCTCTCTTTTCTCTTTGCTACTGCCAGAACTCTGGCTCTGGCTCTGGCACTGTCCTGAGTCTCTGAGCGGGGCTGCAGCTTGGGCAGACTGTTCCCTGCTGTAGTGGGCATGTGAGATGCACATTAGAGGTGAGCTGCCAGTAATCATGGAGTTTGGCTGGCATGTTGTCCTGGAATAAGTAGGTGTTGAGGGCTTGTCAATCCCTCCCCTCCTTCTCTCCCTCAACAACCTACTGGTACTGTATTCTGACTGCTCAGACTCGCTGTTTCTCCAAGGTCAGTCAGAACACCCTGCCTGATGCCCCAAGTCTGGGAGGAAGAAAGGTCACTGTTACATCTCTGGCTGGGCAGCAGTCACCAGAGGTGGAGGGGGAATCTCCCGAAGGACACAGACTCTTTCCTCGAGCTCCTGGAGCCAAGAAGGGGCCCCCAGCACCAATAGAGAATGAGGACTTCTGTGCTGTGTGTCTCAATGGGGGAGAGTTGCTGTGTTGTGACCGCTGCCCCAAAGTGTACCACCTTTCCTGCCACTTGCCAGCCTTGCTCAGCTTCCCAGGGTGAGTCATGTCAACCCAGGACCATCACCTGGCTAGTGAAAGGGGCATGGAGGGATCTTCCAAGGACGATTATTTCAGGCCAGGCCCTCAGAGCTCCCTGTCAAGGGCTTCCTCTCCTCCCTGGGCCTGCATGAATGAGTTAGTGGTCCTGTAGCTGCACACAGAAAGGTAGATGTTTGAAATTCAGTGGCTTCCTTTCCTTCTCTGTTCCCAGCTTCCTCCCGCACACAGATTGTCCCTGTACTCCTGTCTCAGCCCCTTTATAACTTCTCTTTTCCTGCATTCACTAAATCCTGAATTACTGAATTTCTCTCAAGCTTGTGGCTTGGAAGCCATTCACTACAGTGCAGGGGAAGGGACTCAGTTTTTCTTGCCTCCCCATCACCCACCTGTCTTGGGGCACAGGGACAGGGGAGGGAGCTCTGGGCAATGTGCTGAGGTCTAACTTGTCCTCACCCACCTTTGCAGGGGAGATTGGGTGTGTACCTTGTGCCGCAGCCTGACCCAGCCGGAGATGGAGTACGATTGCGAGAATGCCCGCTATAACCAGCCTGGAGCACGGTCCTCTCCTGGCCTGAGCATATCTGACCAGAAGGTAGGGCGTGGTCTCTGGGAACAAGGTTCCATGCCCGTGGCAGCCTCCCTGTGTCAACTGGGGCTGAGGCCTTTCTGTGGGGATGAGAGGCTTCTCTGGGCGCCTGTCTTTGGGGCTATGCCTGACTGTTTGACCCATTGGGAGTTTGCTATGATTTTCCTTCTGTCCGCTCTTTTCCTTTGCCTGGGGGCTGAACTGTGCCTTAGTGTGATGGCTCATACCATGTGAACAGAACCAACCCCTTTAGAGTTATCAGGATCACCGTCTTTAGTTCTTTTTGAGGTGGGGCCAGAACAAAGTAACACTGTTGCCAATTCTGATTTCTGCAGAAGTGTGAGAAGCTCGTACTGTCCTTGTGCTGCAATAGCCTCAGCCTGCCTTTCCACGAACCTGTCAGCCCGCTGGTAAGGAAGGCCTCTCTGTTTCTGCCTGCTGCTGTGCTTTCTGCTTAGAGGGCCCTAGGCCTGCGGGCAGATCGCGGTGGTACCCAGGTGGGCTCAGAGCACAGCCACTGCAAGTATATTAATTTGTGGATGGTCCAGGAGAGCAGGGGGCCATGGTCACCACAGCCCCCCCACCGCAGCTGCTGACTTGACAAGTAGAACATTCTTCCCCTTTCTCTTTGTCTTCTTTCTCCACACTTTTCTTCTTGCTTACTTTCTCTTTCTTACGTTCTTTCACTTCTATTCCAACTAATTCTCCATCCCTTCTTTTTTATCTTCACTTCTCCCTTCCTGCTTTGCCTCCTTCTCCCCCAGGCCCGGCATTACTATCAGATTATCAAGAGGCCCATGGACCTGTCAATCATCCGGAGGAAACTGCAGAAGAAGGATCCAGCTCACTACACCACCCCGGAGGAGGTGGTGTCAGATGTGCGCCTCATGTTCTGGAACTGTGCTAAGTTCAATTACGTATGTCTTGCCCATTTGACCTCTTCCCTACTTCCCAGGGGCCCCAAGATTGTTATGGCTAGATGGGGTATCAGGTTTGGTCCTGGGCTGCTAGGCGGACTTGGCTGCTATACTAGTGATTGTTGAGAGGCTCTCTTCCACACTTGAGACTCAGCATGGACTCAAGGGGGATAAGGGGTGTGTGTGTGTGTTAGTGACTGGCCATCTGTTGGTAACTGTCAGGGTCATTTCTGTTTGAAGAACTGATACCAAACTGGTTATTCTGAGTCCTGAGGAGAAAAACATAAATTTGCAGATATCCAGGAAAGCCAGCTAGGCTTTGTGGTCTTGGTATAGCTCTTGAGAGGCCTGGAAGAGATGGGCTGGTGGAAAGAGGCCAGACCATCACCTCTCTCCTCCCTCTCAGCCTGATTCTGAGGTCGCAGAGGCTGGCCGCTGCCTGGAAGTATTCTTTGAGGGCTGGTTGAAGGAGATCTACCCAGGGAAACGGTTCGCCCAGCCGAGGCAGGAGGACTCAGATTCTGAGGAGGTGTCTAGCGAGAGTGGGTATTCCACTCCCCAGGGCTTCCCATGGCCCCACTACATGCAGGAGGGCATCCAACCCAAGAGGCGGCGGCGACACATGGTAAGAGTTGCTGCCAGCTGGCAGGCAGGTGTGTGGGTGGGTGATTGGGCAGGCAGGGGGCATCTGAGCAACATGTACAAGAGCAACCTAGAGTGAAGCTGCTCAGGTAGCACAAGAGAGTGGTGACAAGGAACCCTCATTTCCAATCCCTTAGCCTAAGAGGAAGGCAGGGCAGTGCAGGGCTCATCAACTCCAATTACTCCTGAGGTTCAAAATTCAGAGAGGTGGATGTACTTCCTCAAGGTTATTCAGTAAATTAACAGCAGAACCAGGGTGAGAAACGAGGCCTGCTGACTCCCAGCTCATTGCTGGTTACTCTAAACTGTGGTGCCCATAAGAAGAGAAGTGCTTGGTCTCGGAGCCTGATCTCAACTTCGGTTTGGGAGAAAGGAAGGAATCTTTTCAGACCCTTGGTGTGGAAAAGGAAGGAGAGGTATTGCTTGTAGTAAAGAGAGCTCCTCTGACCTTTTGGTTGGTCCCATCTGTGCAGACCTGAAATATCAATTCACAACTCTTTAATTCCACCAAAGTGCATTGCCTGCCTACTGTGTGTCAGGGTCTAACCAGCACTCCACAGTTGTTTACGATACTTCACACACAATGGCTTCAGTGAATTTTACTGTTGCATTCCGAGGGTAGGAAAAAACACTTTGACTCTGACAAACCTCAATCTGGACACTTAAAGCCTTTTCACATTAATAAATCCTACATCTGGCCATTCTAATTCCAAATATGTTTTTTTCTTTCAGGAGAATGAAAAAGCAAAAAGAATGTCTTTCCGCCTGGCCAACAGCATCTCCCAGGTGTAGATCTGGAAGGAGACTGAGCACTCTGGCAGATGGTGCCGTATCCTATTGACCACTCCTCTCCACCTTTCAGCTCATTCTCTTCAGATTGTGGATGTGAGACAAGTCTTGTCAAGCTGGTGTAGTGCCCTTCTTTGCCATTTGCATCTTACAGCATTTATTTGGGAGCCATAGTGCATCCATTACAGAGAAGATTTCGGTAATAAACTGCAAAGAGGGAGGTGTTCCCTGTTACCAGAACAATCAGATGTATAGGGTAACTTGACAAGACCAAGCCTGGTCAGGCTCTGGAGGACCTAGCTTCCTTGGTGAATTCTCCCTGCTGAGGAAAGCAGACTTTCCTCCCCTTTCAGAGTGCAGGGCTCAGGAGCAGTATATATATCTGAACTCCTCTTGGGCTCAGAAAAGGTTGAGAGAAGGGAGAGAGGTTCTGACATACGGCAGGCCTGTGATCCCTGGTCCAGCGCAGCCAAAGACTGTCACTGTTTGCCTTTGCTTGGCCTGCCGGGACAGAGGCACCAGCCCTGGGCAGGGTAACGGAGGCTTCTAGAGGCCAGAGGTCTCAATTGGTGCCTATTCGGGTTCTAACGGTTTTCAGGGTATTTGTTTTTCATGCCCCCTTTCCTGATGCTGACTTAGGTGGCTGCTGTTCTGGGGGGTATGGCATTCTTGATGGGTCTGGCTGGCTGTGCAGAGACCACTTACATCTTTAGGCTCAGATTTCCCTGAGTTTAAAGATGTCAACTTCAGAGCCAGCCCTCCATGTCACTCACTCTGGGCTAATAGCTCTTCTTTGGTGTCAGAACCTGCCTTCCTAGACTTGATTGTTGGTGGCCACCCCTTCATCTCCATTTTGAGGTTTGGATCTCGAGTTCTCCTTGGGAAACTGTGAGGCAGCTGCTTTAGGTACAGAGTTTCCTGGGCAAGGAGAGTGACCCACAACCAGCTCACTCTGCTGGGCCTCTCCTCTTGCTTAGAGATCCTAGCCCTCAACATGTCCATGTTCACAGAGCCAAAGATCAGAAGTGAGTCCTCTGACTTGCCTGCCCTTGGGCTGTCCACGGCCCAGAAAAAGCCAAGTCTCTATTGGCAGCTCTTTTTGTTGTTGTTGGAGGTTGAAGAAGGCCAGAGTGCCTGGCAGGAGCCACACCTAAGCATTCACGGGGAAGTTCTGTCTAGGATGGGGAAGGGGGAAACTGAAAGGCAAAAAGCAGTGCCCTTCAGTTACCCTGAAGCCACTTCAAAACTTTACTTCTCCTTGAAGCAGAGAGAAGTGTTCCAGAAGCTATGGGAGCAGGAGCAGAGCTCCAGGCTGCATCTTGGATGGATCTTCACGGTCCATTTGGGGTGTTTGGGATTAAGAGACAGGCAGATGCTGGGGGTTAGGGCACCTCGCTAACAAAGGCTTGCTCAGGAAAGAACCTATTGCAGATGTGGGGGAGCTGTGGACCGGGCACTTGTATCTCAGTGGCCTGGAGATACAACTCTCCCTGGTTCTGTCGTGTTTTGGCTAATTTCAGAGGAATCTTAGGTCATGGTTTTATTTTTGCTAAGAGATGTGGTTTAAGGAAGTTCTTGTTTGTAGGGTCTTTGACGGGAACATTTTGACAGAGAAAACATTTCTTCTCTCCCCGTGAGTCGATGGTACTGCTCATTTCCTTCTCTACCCAGGCCAGAAGATCATTTTCACTTCAAAGCAAACTGTGCCCATTGACTAGCCATTCTTTCACCAGCACTTGCCAAGCTCTCCGAAGCAGGTGGGCTTCCAGATCCTGTTTCCTAGTCTGGGGTAACTAAGTCTTTAATATTCCAATAGCCAGTCAGTCTTTGGAGTTAGTCCTCTACTCCTTGGGACTCTCATGACTTTCTGGTTTGGGCTCTGGCCACTTCTCTTCCAATTTTTGAATCTTTTTGTCTGGTTGGTTGGCTTGGCAAGGTTCCCTCTGTAATTACCTCACTAATTCCTGCTCTTGGTAATCTTTCCTCTGTGTGGTCCACATTCCCACCTCCCCTGAGAGAGCTTCATGGTGCTTTGTCTTGGGCAGCCAGGTGAAAGCTGTGACCAGCTCAAACTTGATTAAGATCCTTGCCTAGGAGCAGTGAGACCACAAATATGAAGCAGAAATGGCTGGTTAGATGGTTGGCTTTTCTTCTATCAATAAAGTTTCCAGCTTGGGGTATAGCATGATGGGTCCAGGGATCAGCCTGCTGGGCCAGGGGAGCTCAGTACTGTAGTAGAAAGTCACATAGTCCCTTTTGATTACAGAGATCCTGCATGCTGAGACGCTCCCTTTAGGCACCCGAGCTGGGAGGGACAGGAGGTAGGTTGTCCTTTCCTCCAAGGGTTCAAAGCGCTGCCCTCTCTCTGGCTTTTCCTGTGTGCTCAACACCAGTTATGAGTCATGGTTATGTTTTGTTTTGTTTTTGCATGCAGAAAACAGATCATGACTTTTTAGAAAATTGGAAAAAAAAAAAAGCTACTAGCTGACTTCAGTGGCTCTTTGCAAATATTTGAGCGATCCTGCTTTTGACTTGGTTCTATAATGGCCCCATTGTAAAGTCAGTTAAGTCCTTTGGCCCTTTACAAAGTCAGGGAATGGAGGTACTGTGAGTTCTGGATTCTCATGGTACAAAGTGCCATAAGAAATTGGGCTTCTTGGGTGTGCTGAGGAGAGTGGAGTGGCTTCGGTTGATGTGAAGGGGATTTCAGTGCAAACATTGGTACAGGGTGAGCTTGCGGAGCACTATTCCAGAACATGGGCAGGTTGGTCCTGCCTGACTTCTAGCAATTGCCAACTACACACCCTCTGCAGGTATCCTGAGTGGCAGCCACCAGACCCTCTGTAGCCTCTGCTGTATGCAGGCCCTGCCATGAACCCCAGCACACTCTGCCTCCTGTAGCCATTGTTGGCAACAGGTCTTTGCCTTGCTCTAAGGCCCCTTCTTGTTTGTTCCTGGGCTGTGCTCTGTTTCCTCTCTCATTCCATGGTATCACCTATAGTCTTCTTTTATGAACCCCTGAACTGAGACGTTGCTCCTTTTGGATCACACCAAAGCTGTGCTTCCTCTTCTCCCACCCCCACTGCTATTTATTTAAACTGCCTGCACCTTTAGCTGTTTCCATTGCCCCAGCTATTCTCTCACCCTTTCAGCCATCTCCTCTCCCCAGCCTGAACCTGTGGTCCATCAATGACGTCTTTTTCAGCATCCTGAAGTTTCTCATTCCCTCCAACTTTTGCTGAAACTATTAACCATTCTCCATTTTCTGCATCAACCTTTTTTGCTCCCTCTTCCTGCGCTGCTAAGCATGGCAGATTCTTACTTGACAGCCCCAGTTGGTCTCTCAGTATTGATTCTTATGTCTTTTACTTATTATTATTCTGCTTTCAGTCCATTCCATTCATCTTTGCTCTCAGCAAATGACTCACCTCACTGCCCACTTCATAGAAGAGAGGCTCCAAAGCAAGAACTTCCTTGCCCACATTTTTCTCTCCCCCTCCATCTCTCTGTGTGTCTGTCCTTCTCTTGCTCCTGTTTGGAGCTCTAGTTCCTGAATCCTGCTCTATGTCCTCCAAGACTTTGCTCTGTCACTTGTCCCACTGCTCCTACTTTCCAGCGTCTTCAACCTCCCTCTCCGTTGTTTACCTCCACATAGCCTACAAACAAGCAAAGGGCCTCCACAAGATTAAAAAAAAATTCTTAGAGTCTGTTGCTCCTTACGCTTTTACCTTGTCAGGCTCGTTTCTTTTTTCTTTTTCCTTAATTTTATTTTTGTTTAAAATATTACAGATGTCCCTTTTTCTCCCCAATGACCCATTCCACCCTGTCCCATCCCCCTCCCCAGTCCCTCTCCCCACCATTGTCCGTGTCCTTTGGTTGTGTATATATGCATATAAATTCTTTGGTTACTCTCTCCCCCTCCACCCACCCGCCCTCCTCCATCCCT